TAGGAAATTTACAAAATATCTTCATGGAACATGATCTTTACTTAATATCCTAATGTTTTTTGGCATAAAAGAAAAATCGATAATTTTGACCCATACAATGTTTTTTTGGCTATTGCTAAAAATATACCCAAGCGACTTAAGACTGGTTTTGTGGTCCAGGGTCACATTTGGCATGAGTCCTGATAACGTCATTCATTGACTTGCACACCCCAGGGGCTATTCTCTAACCCCTCAGCTTTGTGTAATGGAAACAGGCAATCAGCAGTCAGGAATGAGAACTCCAGACCCTGACACATTCCTCCTGCCACTCAGGTCTGGGTTATAAATAAGAACAATATGAATGTAGAACATGACTGCCACTAGAGTCCCTCAAACCACAAGACCAAAGACAGTCTGGAAACTCAAGGAAAAACTGAACCACATAGGGCATTTTTTGTTTTTTTGTGCAAGACCTTGTACTCGCATACAGTGGGTATAGAAAAGAATCACCCACCTTCAAAAAAATCTAATTTTCTTGCTTTGTAGCCTGAAATGAAGTTTTTGTTTTATCCAGCTGTATTTACTCAGTGCAACTTATAACACCCAAGTGAAAGATATAACACCAACATGTCAGAAAAATAAATAAAATAAAATAACAGAATCACTGAGTTGGAAAAAGGATCAGTATTTGTGCCAGTATTTTGTTGAACCATGCACCTTTTGCTTTAACTACAGCCTTTAGTCTGTTGGGATATGTCTCTACTAACTTTGCACATCTAGACTTTGCAATATTTGCCCACTCTTCTCTGCAGAACTGCTCAAGTTCAGATAAATTTGATGGTGAGCGGTTGTGGACTGCAGTCTTCAAGTCATTCCACAGATTTTCAGTGGGGTTTAAGTCTGGGCTCTGACTAGGCCATGCAGGGACATTCAACTTTCTCTCCTTCAACCACTGGGTGTGTGTGGTCAGTTTTGCTGTGTGCTTTGGGTCATTGTCATGTTGGAAGGTAAACTTTCTTCCCATTGACAACTTTCTGGCAGAGGACAGCAGATTTTCCTCAAGTATTTGACAGTATTTTGCCCCATCCATTTTTCCTTCTATCCCTAAGTGCTCCAGTCCCTGCTGCAGAGAAACACCCCATAACAGGATATTATCACCTCTATGCTTTACTGTAGGAATGCTGTTATTTGGATGGTGATAAAGCCTTTGAAAATTTTTTGTTACCATCTCCTGACTTGTGCCTGTCCACAGCTTTATCCCAGAGATCTTTTGACAGCTTTGCCACCCATAGTTGATTGTTTGCTTCAGTTGCACTACCAAGGACCGAAATGCTCCAGGAAAACTCTTTTCATGCTGAGTTTACAAGTCATTTTTAGGAGGGGTTGAGCCTTTTTCCAACTCAGTGATTCTGTTTTGTTTTTTGTTTTTTCTGACATGTTGTTGTTATATCTTTCAGTTGGATGTTATAAGTTGCACTGAGTAAATACAGCTGGATAAAACAAAAACTGTGTCAGTCTTCATTTCAGGCTGCAAAGTAACAAAATGTGATTATTTTAAAGGGGGGTGATTCTTTTCTATACTGTATATCAGATACTTGCTGAGATATGTAGTTCTTGCTGTATATTCTCTGCAGTAGCTTATAGGATAATATATTATAGAATAGACCACCAAGGTTACCATTGTATTACCAAGTTGTTTTAAACTAATATGGGTATATTCTTTGAGGAATTAACTTTGGAGTACCATGTACCATGATTTAAGATAATCATTCAGTAGTCCTATGAGGAATACATTATATAAACTAACATAATGGTTTTCATCTGATAATAAGAATATCTCTTTGGATTTGAGACTTTAGTCTTTGCAACTTTACATATCTTCTTTATGCACCAAGAGCTTGTAACACTCCAAAGAGAAAGGAAAAATTGAAATCGGATCATATGACCCCTTTAAAAATGATCTGTATTGATTGAGATTGAATATACATCGACTGGCATTGGATGTTTAATTGTACATGGACATTTCTCATGTTTTTATATGTAATTACCTAAACATATTAATTATATTGTTAAAGGTAAACTTTATCTAGATAATATAAAAATCAATAGCCATTTTTCATACTGTACATTATAATATTGTGCCTTTTGAAATTGTAGCATTTTTAAATGATTAGTTTTAGTTTTTAGTGTTTTTTAAAGAGGTAATTCACCACAGAAAAGGTGGGGTTTTAATAAAAGTTGGCTGTCTAAATAGTAGTAACACTATTTTGTTTTTTTTATCGGTACTACACAACTAGACAAAACAGACAAAAAGTCTTGTGGGGAAAAAGACAGGAAACTTCAACACCCATAATGCACTGGTTTGATTAGACTATCCGTGAGTGGGGATACAAAAATGCAGAAGTAATATCTGTAGTTTTCACAAAAGCCTTGGAGCTGTCAAAACTTGCTGACAAATAAAAACTTGTTCACATTGTTCATGTATTTATACTATCAACATTGTAACAATAAAAAGCTGGTTAAAATTGTCAAACTTATTATTTAATTTATTTAGGCAAAATAGTATAGAATTATATTACTTGCCATTTATCAGTTATCAGCCATAACATCAGTACATTCCTATTTACTATCCTAGATCATCAGGGTATAATTTTTTTGTGGTGTAGTAGTTTAAAAAACAGATGAAGAGAGTTTAAACTGCATAAAGTAACTGTGACCATGGTGGATGATATTTAACCAGAAGCAAATACATTTTATTTAGGCTTTTATGAGTTGCCAGGGCTTTGCTCACACTGTAGAGGAGCTGTGAAGTCGATAATTGACCATCTAATGAGAATGAAGACAATTTAAGTAACCTTCAAAAATGAGCACTCTAAATGGTTCTTCTTTCCGAGAACTTGTATAGAAGCAATTATGCAACCACAGAGATATAATATAGATCATTTAGATGCAGAGGGAAGAGGGTAGGTGTTGTTGTTGTTGTTGCAAAAGAGAGGAATGAAAAGATGATGTAAAAGAAGAAACCATGAGAGAAATAAGTGAATGGCAGTTCTGGATGAGGATTTCAAGGTCTAGGCCAAAGAGTACTATAAGCTGAATATTACACTGGATAAAAGGTCTTAATCAGTATGTTTATCTAGTTTCCCAGTATGAATATTTAAGCTAAACATCCTTAAAGGAATACTTAAGCCAAAAATGAAAAATTGCTGAAAATGTACTCTTAGGCCATCTAAAATGTAGATGAGTTTGTTTCTTCATCGGAACAGATTTGGAGAAATTTAACAATACATCACTTGCTCACCATTGGATCCTCAGCAGTGAATGGGTGCCGTCAGAAGAATGAGAGTTCAAACAGTTGATAAAAACATCACAATAATCCGCAAGTATTCCACACAACTCCAGTCCATCAGATAACAGAATCAAATCCATTATTAACATGTACTTTAAAACTTTTGCTTCTGGCTAAAATACGAGTCATCTCTCCATAATACTGCTTTGTCCAGTGAAAAAGTCATTTCGTCTGAATCAGAAGAAAAATATGCTCAGGTCAAGCTCAATTTAGAAGTGAAAACATCCAAAACAGTTCCAAACAAAAATGAGCACAACTATTTTGGGTGAATTATTATTTAAGAACAAGATATATTTACTTAAGAAGCAAAATTGCATAGGATAGACCTGTTGTAGAGAATTCATTACATTAAGCTTATTTTCCTTAGTCCACTAGAATATAGTTTTTCTTAATCATAAACATCACTAATTGCGATTATTAACATAATTATAATACATAATTTAGATATTTATATTATTAGAACAAATTAACAAAAATACTGATTCAAATTGATTTTTGCAGTGTCTGAAATATATATAGAATTATGGCACATGGCTCAAGACCTTTATTTAAGCACTCAGAAGTCGTGCCTCTAAAGAGATTAAATGCAGTTAATATCTATCTGAGTCTGTCTTTCTGGTGCTTGCTTTCTGCTGATGTTGCATCCAACAAGATACTCTGATTTAATGCCTGGAGTGCAGGAAGTCTTTCTCATTTCCAGTTTGTCTCTCTCTCTTT